TGTTTCAATGAATGTTCTTAATTGTTTTTAAATCTCCTTTTCTTTTGCCTTATGTTTTGATGCTTTTAATGGTTTTATGTGAAGCACTTTGAATTACCTTGTTGTTAAAATGTGCTATAAATAAACTTGCCTTGCCTAAAGAACATGTTGTGCTTGGTCTATTTAATGTGTTCACTGCTGACCGACTAGACCAGATGAAAGGTCATAAGTTTGTGTCTACAGACTGATGCTCTGAGCTGGTGGAAATGTCTGACCTGCCGTCCTGCAGGCCAACACAGATGATATTTCCTATCTTGGCTGCAGACTGGGCGTTCTCAGCCTCCCTCTCCTCTGTGTTGGGACACGGCTCCTTCACATACTCCAGACAGAGGGCCGGGGCCCTCAGCGGGACGGTCTTGACCAGGCGAGGAGTGGCTCGGTTCAGTGAGAAGATCTCCACTTGGCCATGGTTGAAGCTGCTTCCTCCACCTGCAACCTGAGCTCCATTGGACAAAAAGCAAATAAATGACAATAAGACAAACACAGAAACAAATACACTTCAAGAATGAATTAAATATGAATAAATGTGATAACAATTCCTTTAAAAAAAAAGATACAAGCTCTTGATAACATGTATCCAAGAAGAGTACAACACCATATATGAGAGAATACTGGTCATGGGTGAGACGGACAATAAGGATGCCAACCGGTGTGTTAATATGAGAATACATTTGAGAATTAACTGTGAAGAAGTTACTCAAAGATGAAAGTGGCAGGAATATATATTTATATACCCACATATCTGGTGAATATGCAAGTCATTCACTGAAAGAATGCCGTTTTATGATCAGTTGGACCGAGGCCTCCTTCCTTTGATTATTCTACATTCAAACTACGGTTTAAATTCACATTCAAAATGTACATAGACCATGCCTTGTGCTATACTTAAAAGACTATATTTGGTCTTTGTTAAAACAAACTAGCGAGCTGTACTAAACTGATGATCAACATTATAGAATAGGTGAGACTGTTTACTGCCTTTAAAAGTGATACAGCTTTACAGTAACCTTAACAACAGATCCGAAATCAGCTGTTGTCTTGTCCTCAGTGAGGCAGCAGAGACATCGCAGAGAAACGACAACAAATGCAGTTTAGCATCAGTCGACATGGATAGCTTTATATATGCACTGTATAATAGTAGTTCATGGACAGTGCAGTGCATCTGTTACTCAAACGGTGACAACCTCAGGTCCACTACCACTGTACTCACCCAGAGGTAACCCTGTGGTAGAGAAGTACTGGCAGTGCAGAAACCAAGCAGGCTGGACTGAGACGGACTGTGAAGAGCTGCCTCCAGCTGCACAGACAGACAGAGACATGCTTCATTTACTGCAGGACTCCTGGACTTCACACTTGTACAGTAAGAGGTGTTAAATATGCCGTGACACCAGATGGAAACCTTTTCATCCGTCATAACTTTCAAAATAAAAAGAAATCACTGCAGTTTCTAAGAAAACAGGTCAAAGAGATATAAATGTACATGCTACAGTGATCCACGTAGGATTCACCCCATAGAAGCAATATGCAACATACTGAATATTAATATATGTTAAATATGTTACTGTTATCTACTGAATGACAAACAATATTTACTGATAAATACATATATTTTGTCATTAATTAATAAATTATAGAACCAAAACAAACATTAACAGCTGAAATAATAATAACTAAACAAATAAACTCATAGTAATACAAATAATATTACAAATATAAAAGCTGAAATGAGCACATTAATAAATTATTAAATAATAAATAACAAATGTTGGTAATAATCAGGAGAAAAATAAATCTATACGTGTTATTTTCTATAGTTATGTGTCGATGTCTTAATGAGGTCGACTGTACTAACCTCAGTGTAGAAACATATGAAAATGGCTAAATTCACATATTGTTTACAGAAGATTCATACCTCTATTTGTGCCTTGAGTGATTATCAACATGTTCAATTCAATTATTTCTGTATCTATATCAAGACATAGACAACCACCCACAGCCTGTGGGAAGCATCAGCAGACAAAACACAGACAATGATGAGCCAGAGGATTCTCAAGATTTGTGACGGTCTTAATTTCATCATCTTCTAATGTTTGTTTTCCTAAAATGCATTTATATGTTGAAATGCTGCAGCCTCCTCTATGTGATGTAAACATCAGTTCTACACAGCCATGTGTTTGGTTATGAGACACAACCAGAATATATGGCTGCTCATCAGTGAGCGAGAAACACAACCAGGTCTCTTTTATACATATACATCAGTCTCTTTGGATATTAGTATCAATACCCAGCAGCAGCTCTCACCTTCAGTGAGTGTGTTCTGGAGGAGAGGACAGGAAGTTCGCAGGTTAACAGTGGACAACTAAATGGAGCTTTTGTCTTCACGTCTTCTTCAGCACATTCCCACCCCGGAGTGTTTTCCTGTCCTGAACACACACACACACACACACACACACACACACACACACACACACACA